GGAACACATATCTCTTATCGAAATTTTATTATTATCATATTAGTTCAAGAATGATCAAATATCACACAAAAATATAGCATCATTTTTACTATCAATACATATAAAGAGAAAGTTTCTTCGAGCTTTCTATATTGAAACGATGTACCTTCGCTACTACTTTTGGGTTGTTCTAGATACTTGAAAAAAATTTGGCAGATAATAAAAAGCAAAGTGAACAATTCTCTATTCTCTGTATACAAATTCTTCTACTATATCACTTATTCATTTTGTATTTCTTTAAGGAAAATAATATGAAAGAGTGGCAAACTATCAGTTTTTATCGTGTAGTCTTATTTGCTTTAATATCGTAGATTTATACAAGTACTGGAAATTGTGAGGGAAAATCGCAAACATTTCAGCTATTGATTATAGTCAATAATGATTCACATAATCTTCCACTGTCACTTTATCTTATCTAATTTTCTATTTGTATCCTCTATATTTTATTGCTCTTCCAAGTATATTCCCTCTTTACTATTATATACATGGAAGTTTTTTCAAAGTTTGAAAAAAATCAATTTTTACGTCCGTTTCATCATCGATAGTTTCATTTTTTTCGTGTTTTTGACATAAAATTCACGAAAGTGATAGAGTTTTTTTTCAGTTTTTGACCCCATAGGTAAGGTAACCAGGTAAGTAGTTCGATAGATCGGTAGTTGATTCTACTTCTGATCAAATGTCTTTTCTCCTTTCTCTTTTGTGAAACACAATCAAAAACTATTGCTGATTTCAAAATAAAAGGCACGTGTGTATTTTTTGAATAACTTTTGATAGGAACAAGATAGAGAGCTGCGGTTTTCACCGTTGGAAAGAGGCTGGGACAGCGCATCGATTCATATAAAATTGTTGAAATTTATTTCATAAATAGGTAGTGATGCATGGTCATATTCAAAGAGCAGTCTGTTGTCCTATGAAGATGCAACAAATCTTAAACTTTCAGGAGTGGACTAGAATCCTTAGCTGACGAGCTACAAATCTACGAAAGGCCGAAATTTTTATCTTAAGTCGTTCAAACATTATGGATCAAATACTAACGGCATTTGACCGAGTTTTTGTCAATTTTATCTTGCGTAAAATATTTTTCAAATTATTATTAATAATGTTTTTCAACATGCTGGATCAATTGGCAATATTTATTTTGCTCTAGAATACTTCTTTTTCTATCAAAATACTATTACTAGTGATTGTACGATGTTACTT